AGGTGGTTGTGGTCTAGGTCTTGCCGTCACATCCCGGCTCACCCGGCTGGGACAGCTCCCGAGTGCCTGATTCTGGCCACGATGCCCAATCGAATTGGCCACTGGCGTTGCAGCGGCCTGCGAGTTTACCCCCAGTTCTGGGAATTGATGGGAGCCCCCCCCCCCCGGTCTAGATCCTCCACATCGTTGGCCCGCCTCCAGTCTTTGGCTGTCCCTCTTCCACCTCCCCCAAGGGACCCTGTGGAGCTAGCCCAGAGAAAGGATCAGCTTCGTCTCGAAGGAGAGAGAATCTTGAACGACCTGTGACCCAACATGCACCTTGCTCCAACCAGTTTTTGGTCTTCTCTCGAGCAACAAGATTGGGCATCTTTGGCTTTCTTCCCCACAGCTACCCCAATTTTCCTACACCGGACGAAGTTCTAGAATGCCCTGAGATTTGGGGGTCCAAGGGCCTGGCCATCTGACCTCCTGCTCTCCTGAGCCCTGGCCTGGGAGCTCCGGTTTGGAGCCCCGGTGAGCGGACAGCTGCTTCACGGTCAAGCAATCAAAGGCAAGGGAGCCTGCACCGACACATCTATTTTCCTTTTTTCTGTTCCCATGTCCCAATGTCACCTCATCACGTTGATTGGCACTTCCATGCTGTTGGTCCGGACACTCTCCTATTACCCACTCCACGATCATTTTCTGTTGAACACGAGGTTGGAAGGGAGGTGGCTAACAGACCGACATTACTGATTTTCACCCCACGCATCCCCCTCCGTTCCGCCCGCATTCTGTCGTCGTCCGATCACCGCCGGGTCCCCGGATATGCCAATCACTTGACCAGCTCCGCGAAACGGGAAGCCGCTTTCGGCCATCCGCTTACAATTGCCATACTCCAAGTGTGTCGGGGTTTCTGGAAGCGCATCCCACCTATCTTATTTTGAGATGATTTTTCTCCTACACACTCACGATACGTTTCTGATATTATCATGCCATGCACGTCTCGCATTCAACTAGCCAGGATACAAACAGCGGTGTAGGCGCTTTTGTGTTTAGATCGGTTCTGACCAGTAAATATGACTTCCCAGCAGCATCTTGATTTACTTCATCATCTTAGAAGATGGGATTCATTATGAATATCTACTTGCAGAAGCTCGTCTCGCATCAGATGAGATATTTAACGCGTATGCGGAGATTCAGTACTAAGTCTATTTTCACCTACTCGAGAAACGCCATTGCTAAAGCAGTACCAGGTCTCCTGACCCTGCTGCTCTCAGTGACAAGCTGAGCAAGCAGATATTTAGGTCATTAAGGTAGACACAGTATATTGATTGTTCACCGCCTGGGCCACAAAAGTCTCCTCAAATCATGATGACTTTTGATAATGATTTCAACCTTCTCATACGAAAAACTATACACCAGCACGGCCGTCTTGTTGGCATTTTAACTTCGAAATATGATGAATTGAGCTTAACGTGTCAACACTTGAAAAGCAGTCAGTCAGTAAAGGCATACTACACCCCAGAGTAAAAGTCTCAAATTTCTGTTCCTCGTCTAACACTCTACGCAGCATTTCTTCTCGCTTTCTCTCGTTCATCAAATAACGGAATCATCTTGTTGTCCCAATCAGCCGCCGAGACCCCATCGCGGAACCGCTGTGCCAGCAAAACCTGCAACCTCTCGGTGTTCTTGGCCAACTTACAGTGGGCACCATGCTGCATCAAAAGTTGAATGTAGTCCAATTGATACGCCCACAGCGGCTCATGAAACCAATCCAGGAACATCGAACCACCAACTTCAGAATGAATATCCGCACCCTTCCGTAAGAGTTTCTCAGCAAGCCTCTTTTGTGTTGCACTGTCACGCAGACCGGTTATCACGTCTTGGGGTGAGAGCCCAGACTCCATATGTTCCGGGCCGTTGAGTGCCACGCACCGGTTCAATAAAGAAAAGGACAATTGATGATCAGACTGGGTATCTGCGGTGTCTTTGCTTGCATTCAGAAGCAATTCGGCAGCCTGGAAATTGATCTGCACTAAAGCCAAATGAATCGGTAGACTGGCATCTAGAGTAGCGTTGACGTCTGCCCCGTGGGCAAGAAGACTTGGAATCGCCATCGTGCGCTTGGATATCGCTACATGAAGCGCGGTTAGACCAAGATAATTGCGTTCATTGACCTGCGCACCATGCTTCAGCAAAGCTTCGACAATCCCAACAGCGTCGCTGCCTGATCTCACGGCTGCTAGGTGTAGACAAGGTAGCCCTGTCTTTTCGTGCTTAGAACCAGCATCGAATCCTTGGTTGAGAAGAAACTCGAATACTGGGAGAGAGGCATGCATAACTGCGTGTATGACAACGTCTCCTTTCAGGGGGTTTATTCCCCTAAAGTTGGCATACAGAAGCTTCAAAACCCTCACGTCATTTCCTCCGGATGCTTGAAAGAGGAGGTCTTGTAGAAAGGCGGACGATAGCTTTTCGTGACCAGGTAGGTGAGATTTGTTGGCGTCGTTGCATACACGCTCAAGTAAAATCTTCGCGATCCGATAATGCTGCTTGTGAAAGGCTGCTTGGAGCGCGCTGACCCTAATTTGGTATCCTTCGGTGACTCTTGCGCGGTTGTCGAGAAGAAGACGAACTGTATCTTCGCGACCAAAAAAGGCCGCATAGTGGAGAGGAGTATATCCCTTTTCGCTCATGTGGTTGACACAGTCCTTGTCGTGATGTTGCATACGTTTGAGTAGCGCCGGGATCATGGAGGTTAGTCCAAGAGCTGAGAGTACATGGAGAAGACCTGGGTCTTCATCCACACCGCCGTTAATGTTGCTAGGGCTGGGCATCGCACACGGATGTGTGAAGAGACACCACCACAAGTCTCGAATTGCCGATTGCTCACGGAAGAAGTGTGCGTTGCTATTCAACAGTTCGCTCGCTGTTTCCCCGCAGGATCTCGCATGGTCCGCCCAAGCATGGACAGCATATGAGATCCAGTTCTTGTAGTTGTGTTGAAAGCGCATTAGTGGTAAATCGCTATTCCCAAGAGTGGTCTCGAAATTGCCAAATTTCTCAACCTCTCCTCGTATGTAGTCCCCTTCTCGTGCGAGATCAAGCTCGTTTACGGAATTGAGGCATTTCTCAACTATCTCGAAGTGTACTTTCTTTGCGTCGAGTCGAAACTCCTTCAGAACAGGATCATCGTGAAGATCTAAACGCAGAATATAATCCCCAACTGAACTGTGTATGAGGGATAGTGTCTCCCACGTGTCCCACGGTGCTATGCCCGGGACTTCTTCAAACTTGCGGACCTTCAGTAGCGATCCAGACATTTCCACGAGATCTTGCAAGTTGCGGTGCTTGACGTCTTCTTCTCCCCTCCCGGCGTTCCAAGCTTCCTCCAATTGGGTTATGGACAAGGGCATGGTAGCCACTGTAACCCAGTGGAGAAGACGTGCGACCTGTCTGCGCCATCTGGGAGGAATCTTACAAAGCATGCGGGCGTAGATTGCATCTAGACCTTCAGGCACGTCAATCAGTACTTGTTCAATCTCCAGTTTTCTGTTCATTTCCACGATCTCGTTGAGTACGAGGCCTGCCCAAAGAAAAGTTCCATCACAGCGTTGTTGAATTGTAGAGACAACGTCATCCCAAAATGTTTTGTCGAAGCTCGAATATGCTGGGTGCGTTCTGACTTTTGCTTCAATGACCTGATGTACGTCCGAGGCGATAGCATGTGCTTTTGATTCAAGGTCGAGACGCACAAATCCAAGAAGTCCGACATTCTCCCGACTGACGACTATAATCTTGAACATGTTTGGAGTTGGATGAAGTGCCCGCCCGGATGGGTCGAAGAGAGTCCTAAGGTTTCTGACAAGCCATCTCGTACTATCTTCTTTGCACTCGTCAAGTCCGTCCAAAAGAAAGACTAAGGGCCCGAGATTGGGGTCAGCGAGCACGTCTAGAAAGATTTGCCAGAGTGTCGCTGGGCAACCGAGGGTATATCGCGCTCTATCTGCTGTTCCCATTCGCCTCACAGCATGGTGGGCAAGGTCGAGTTGCTTCTCAAAAATCTGATGAAGCAGGGTCCTCAGTATGGAGGCTGCTGTGCTGTGCATCTCGCTTCCATGCTTGCAGAAGTAGAACAGAACTTTCGTAGGATTATGGCGAAAATGGATTTCCAACTCCACGGTGAGGAACATGGAAAGGATCGTTTTGCCTCGACCAGGACCACCGGAAATCCAAAGAAGTTGCGAGCATTTGTTGGCCAACCAGGCCTTGTATATCTCGTCATCCCGAATCCATTCGCAAGTTCCGTCCGTTCTTTCGCCTTTGAAGTTGATGAGTTCGCTGCGGTCAACTCTGGGATCTGTCACGTAAAAGGCTTCCATGCAACTCTTCAACTTGGTCTTGGGGTTTTCTTCGCCTGTGGATAGTCAGTCACCGCACTTCCTTTGGCATAAAGGGGTGCTATGCTCACCAGAACCAAATTGATTCACTCCCACGACACCTGTTGCACCGGGCCAAATGTTAACATTCCCAAACGTGATTGATGGTGGATCCATTCTGTCGATGCTTGTGGTTACCGTGTAAATCAAAGCGTCGGGTTTTGTGGCTGGAACTCGACGATGGACGATGGCGTTTTAATATTTTGATATGTCAACGGGACAAACCCAGTATGATCTCTTCTATGCTAGACCATGGGATTTTTATTTATCTTCTCGTGCTTTCCACATTGTGCTTTGAAGCTGAAACTGTCACATTCGCGATACTTTGTCATTAGTCCACCCTGAAAGGAGCCAAGTCTCATATGCCTTTCGTTCTACACCTCATCGAAAGCAGGCAAAGAAGGATGTCTTTCTGAATGTTGAACGCTGTCTCAAGCTCACGGGGCCTCTTTTCTTTTAGGCCTATTAAAGCCCCCTTCTGTCGGCCTCTCACCATCTGCTTGCTTCATCACCGGCTTCCAGCATCCGACCATTTCCATTCAAACTCCCACGAGCCCAGCGACACCCCTTTTGGAAACGATGGCTGAGATACTCGGGGCCGTTTCAGGGGCCTTCGGCCTCACAGCCACGGTCTTGCACAGCATCAGAGTCATTTACAGCGACATTGACAGCATGAAACGAGCGCCGCAGGAAATCTCGAGCCTCAAACAAGAACTCAGAAGCGTCGAATGCCTGGTTCAGAGTCTCCAAGTGTCTCTCGAGGCAGAAGCTGGGACCGACGATAGCCAAGAACGCGTGATCGTAACCGCACTCCTCGCCTGCGAAGCTTCGTGTCAAAACTTCCGTCGCGAATTCCCTAAGCTTCTGCATTCGACAGACGGAGATCTGAGTTTGGTTGAGAAAGCCAAGTTTGGGCTCTGGACCAAGAGAAGGATGGTGCCCTTCTTGGCTGATCTGAGCAGCTGCAAGTCAACCGTCAGTCTGGTTCTCAGTGGCGCAAACTAGTAAGTTCTCAAATTCAGTCTGCTTATAAGCTTTGGCCTCAAGCTATCAGGCAAATCAGAAATACTGACCATCAATGTGACAGCTTTGCGGCCCGCGAGCAATGCAAGCAACTTCAGACCTTTGTTGCCAAAGAAGCGACCGGACCACGCCACCAAGATGAACGCATTCTTGAACTCGAGGACGACGACCTTCGACGGGCAGAGCAGTGGTCCCAGGGCTATCAGGAGCAGCTGTCTTTGTTGCTAGGCAAGGTTAACTTGAATCGGACCAAATTCAAAATGGGCCGAGTGGACATGGTGGACTCGCATGGCGCCGTCGGTCTCAACAATGTAGACGGAACAGAGGGCGACTTGGATATTCAGTTTGGCGATGTCAAGGCCGAAGGATCTCGGGCTGTGGTTGGATACAACAAGAACATCGATCTCAGCGCGCTTTTCAAATAGCCACTGCGTATCTGGTGGAATATGGACTGCCATCGGAGGGTTTGGGGGAAAGGTCGCACTTCAGGTCTTCAAACTCTGGAACTCTGTACCGGACACCATTGCGGCTGTGCAAAGTATTCTTAGATCTTGACACTGAGTAAACTGGTCTAACAATTTTCCACTTGGATGTCCCAAAAACTTGATGTTCACCGTACGCCAGCTCTTTTCTACTACGCAAGATGAGCGTATTCCTTGTTAAACGCCCTTCCGATGACCATTCTCCTGATCTCCGATGTACCAGCTCCGATTTCATACAATTTAGCACTGGTGTTATGTTAGCCATAGTCCAATATGTGACCTTGAATAAACTTACTCTCTCAACAGCCTAGAAGCTGGCATTTCCTCCACGTAACCCATGCCTCCAAGAAGCTGGATGCTATCCAACGTACATTCTGTTGCCCTTTCGGCAGCATACAGAATAGCACCGGCGCAGTCTTGCGTACGGATAATTCCGTTCTCGTCAACAGCCTTTGCTGTAGAGTAGGTGTACGCCCTTGAGGCCTGCAGCTTCGTGTACATATCGGCCAGCTTGCCCTGGATGAACTGATTCTGGGCGATGGGGATGCCAAACTGCTTCCTCTGGTGGGTGAAGGGCAGCGCCACGTCCAGCGCAGCTTGCATGATTCCTAAAGGTCCGGCGCTGAGAACGAGACGCTCAAGGTCGAGACCCTCCATCAGAACGCGAACACCTCCGTTGAGCTTGCCAAGGATGTTCTCCTTGGGTACAAACACGTTGTCGAAGTTGAGCTCGCCGGTGTTGCTACCGCGCATGCCCATCTTGTCGAGCTTCCTAGCGCAGCTGAAACCCTTGGTCTTGGTCTCAACGAGGAACGCAGTCATGCCCTTTGAAGCCTTCTCAGGCTCCGTCTTGGCGTAGACAACGATGAGATCGGCATCCGGGCCGTTGGTGATCCACATCTTGGAGCCATTGAGGACATAGCCGCCATCGACCGCCGTCGCTGTTGTCCTCATGCTAACAACGTCGCTGCCAGCGCCAGACTCAGACATCGCCAGAGCACCAACGCTGGTACCGGCAATCAGGCCTGGGAGGTACTTCTGCTTCTGCTCCGGGGAGCCATTGAGCTGGAGCTGGTTGACGCACAGCTGCGAGTGCGCGGCATAGCTGAGACCAATCGAGCCGGAGGCCCTTGAGATCTCCTCCATTACAACGCAATGCGCCTGGTAACCCATGGCCAAACCACCGACCTCCTCGTCGGCGGTCATGCCCAGGAAGCCGGCCTCGCCCAGCTTCTGCCACATCTCATTGGGGAAGGCATTGCTCTTGTCCGTGTTGGCGGCGACTTCCTCGGTGATCTCGCGCCTCGTGAACTCCTGCACGCGCTCGCGCAGCTCGGAAAGGTCGGCTTCTGACGGCGCTTCAAACCCCTTGGGATGCTTAGAGGAATAACGTCGGGATTGAAGGGCGGGGGCGGCCAAGGGTCGCAACTGGCGAGCCGGACGCGCCAGCGATCTGAATACTCGAACACTCGACATGATTGCGCTCCAAAACAAATACGGGCTTCAAAAAAGGAGAATTGAGAGAAGAGGAAGAGGAAATTGGCTTGTTCTCTTGTTGTTGATCCGAGTTACCTTAGCTCGACGCCGCAGCAGAGGTCCAACCGGGAGAAGAAGGTGCTCGGCTACGGGCGGCTTTTCGCGGACCGAGGCCAATGGCTTGGACGTCACACGCTGGAATGGTATCCCGTCAGCAAGCGAGCTCTCCCCTCGAAACACCCTCCCATATCCAAGGGCACCGTCGGCAAATGTAGTTTGTTCTTCTCCATTGCCGCCTTCTCCAGTCACCGTACCGTTGGCAACACCCTTCGCACACGTCTCGAAAATGTCTCTCTCACGGTCGACAAGAGATGTCCTGCTGCTGTCGCGTCAATTGACCCGGTCGAGCTTCAGGGCCCCCCGCCTTCCGCGATCCTCTCGCACCGTCGCGACCTTCACCCCGCCGCACCAGGCGAACGCCATATCCCGAATCCAGACCAATGTCGATCCTACCTCGGAGGAGTTCAAGGAGAATGAGCGGCAGATGGGCGAGGTCATGCAGAAGATGCAGGACCTGACAAGGAAGGTGCACCTCGGTGGTTCGGCTAAGGCAAGGGAAAAGCACATTGCGAGGAAGAAGATGCTGCCGCGCGACCGAGTCACTGCGCTAATTGACCCGGGAACGACCTTCTTGGAGCTGTCTCCTCTGGCTGCACATGAATTGTACCCCGAGGCCGACGTACCCGCGGGCGGCATCATCACGGGCGTTGGTGTTGTTGAGGGCGTGACCTGTGTGATTGTTGCCAACGACAGCACGGTGAAGGGCGGTACATACTACCCGATTACCGTGAAGAAGCATCTGAGGGCGCAGGCCGTCGCACAGGAGAACAAGCTTCCGTAAGACGCTCCTGTCCTGCGCATAATCAATCAAGAAGACTGACATTGGACAGCTGTATCTACATGGTCGACAGCGGCGGTGCCAACCTCCCCCACCAAGCGGACGTCTTCCCGGACCGTGATCACTTCGGACGCATCTTCTACAACCAAGCAAGGATGAGCTCGATGGGAATACCCCAGATTTCGGTCGTCATGGGTCCGTGCACCGCTGGCGGGGCATATGTCCCCGCGATGAGCGACGAGAGCATCATTGTCGAGAACCAGGGTCACATTTTCCTTGCGGGCCCGCCGCTGGTGAAGGCTGCCACGGGTGAGGTGATCAGCCACGAGGAGCTGGGAGGCGGCAAGATGCATTCTTCGGTCTCCGGCGTGACCGATTACCTCGCGGTTGACGATGCCCATGCAATCACCCTTGCGCGCCGTAGCATTAGCAACCTGAATTGGCCGAAGAAGTCCCCCGCAACGATGGCCCCGGTACAAGACTACGTTGAACCTCTTCACTCGCCCGAGGAGCTTTTGGGAATTGCCAGCACAAACCTGAGGAAGCCCCTTCCCATTAAGGAGGTCATTGCTCGTATTGTTGACGGCTCTGAGTTCTCCGAGTTCAAGCAAAATTTTGGAACCACCCTTGTTACCGGTTTTGCCCACATCCATGGTTACAAGGTTGGCATCGTCGCCAACGACGGTATCCTATTTGCAGAGTCCTCCGTCAAGGGAGCCCACTTTATCGAGCTGTGTGCTCAGCGAGGCATTCCGCTAGTCTTCCTCCAGAACATCTCTGGCTTCATGGTTGGCTCCGCTGCGGAGCGTGGGGGTATCGCCAAACACGGCGCCAAGCTGGTGACGGCCGTCGCTTGCGCCGATGTACCAAAGTTTACCGTCGTTGTTGGTGGTAGCTACGGTGCGGGCAACTACGGCATGTGCGGCAGGGCCTACAGCCCGCGCTTCCTCTGGATGTGGCCCAACGCCCGTATTGGTGTCATGGGCGGTGAGCAACTGGCCGCTGTGATGGAGACTGTTGGAAAGCAGGTCGATCCTGAATTGAAAGAGAGAATAGAGCGGGAGAGCGATGCTACCTACTCATCTGCCAGGTTATGGGTAAGTCACAACGCAACATCCACGTCACCGATACTTGCTAACCATGGTTCATAGGACGACGGTATCATTCCCCCGCAGCACACTCGCAAGTACCTTGGGTTGGGTCTCAGGGCAGCTATGTCAGGCCGTAATGAAGTAAAGGCTGGTGATACCAAGTTTGGCGTGTTCAGAATGTAAAAATGCTTAGATTTAGGTTCATCCATGAGGCGTTGGGAGAAATGCATTAAGAAAGTTCTTACACCCGCTGTTGAGGCGCCTGCACGGCAGCCCAAGTATCACCTAGTCGTTTCAGTCTACGTACAAGACGCGTCAATAAACGGCAGTGGTCGATCGAAAAGCACACGATCAACTCGCCTCTCCAATGACAGTCGCCTCGCCAATTGCCCGCTAATGCCGAGGCTTGGTGTTATCCGAAGCTCATTAAGAGCGGCTAGATGTCCCGGCCGCTTTCCCGCGGTTGCATTTGACGCCACGCCGAGCATCTCAGATTGCCGTCTTGACAACGGCTCAAAACCCAAAATCAGATGGTAAAAAGCCCATCTCGGCCAAACGAAAGGAATGGCATCCGGGACGGACTGCCTAGTTCAGAAACATTACGGGGCCAGTTCTGCAGCAGATCGGGGCAGGAGCCAATTGCGCGGACCGAGCTCCGGGGACCCACCGGCCGCCACCCCTGCTCTTTGCCGGCGGTGTACCTCGGGCTCCATCTTCTTCATTCTTCATCATGCTCCAATCCTACGCAGCTGGATGCCGGCAACCATGGAACTCAGTCCTCTCCCCACGAATTCTGCGGGTCAAGCGTGCCAGCAAGAAATAACGTGGCTACAGATACGACCATCCACGTGCCGTCTGGCTGAGCATCATGGCAGCTACACCCGACATTTCGTCTAGTGAAAGGTCGTGCCATCCGATGATCTCATGGAAACGACATTGGCCATCTTCCGATGTCCGACGAAAATCAAAAGCTTGCGGCTAATGCTCAGCCGTTCAGCCCAACATGCGACAGATGGGACGGATGCGCATGTGGTGACACGCAACTCGACCTACCCGGAGCTAGCAGCGGAAGCTCGCGACTGATCCCATTCGCCTGTTACTCGACAACGGAAAGATCTCACCACTCATCGAAGATATCATTTCCCGCATGCGTGGTTGGTCTGGCTACACCACCTCAACAACCTCCTTTTTTTTTTCTCAATTCTTCCGTTTTCCATTTTCTTGGTTCCCGGGCAGACCGTGGTTCGTCGGCGAAGGAGAGGGGCGAAGGCGAACACCCATGCAGTGCGCTCCCACCCTAGTCTGACCGATCTCCAATCCTTGCCTCACCGGTGAACCCTTCACCGGACCCAAAATATGCAACTCTCTCTTTCAGGATTTTTTTGCTGCCTCTTTGCACCTGCTGGTAATGGACAAGCCCCCCCCCCCCCCGGTCAGTGGGTAGGAGGGTGTCAAACGGGCTGCAAAGCCCCTTGCGGCATCGCGCCTTACTCTTTCCATCCGTATCTCGTCCTCTGGCTGGTTGGGATGACGGTAGGCACATGCAGGGGAGGGGAGAGACCGGTCTGCAGGCTGCGATGTTGGCAGGTCGCGAAGATATGTGTGGGGGAGGAACGGGGCGGGCTGAGCCAACGACGAACCCGAGGATCGTCAGCTCGAGGAAGCAGGCTCTCGTGATACGTTCACCGCCACGAAGTCGTTGGCATATATAAAGAGGATTACCCCGGTCGTTGGTCTGGCTTGATCTGGCTGTGTTGACTCATTCTGAGACGCTGTTGGGAGACACGTCTTGATCTAGGTTCAGACCCTAGATTTCATCTGCCTCAGGTCGAGACACATCATCAAAGCTCGAAGTCAGATCTGTCATCTGTCACTTCTCATCTTACCAGAAGCATCTACCAAACAAAGACGGCAATATGGCACCCTCAGCCTTACCCGAAGAGCCACAGATGTACGCCCCAACCGTCACCGAGATGGCTCGCGGCCGACGTTTCTATCCCTCCCACAGATTCATCACAAGCTGTGGCACAGTCACAGTCGACCTGAATGCACGCCGGGTGCTCCTCGTATACAATAAGCGCCACCGCATCCATCAACTACCAAAAGGCCGCAAGAACATTGGAGAGGATCTACTGGCGGCGGCGTTGCGAGAGACCAGGGAAGAGACCGGTGTTGTGGTGACACCGATTCCGCTGCAGATCCGGACGAGGGCGACGCCGGCGGATGCGCCACCCGGAGCGCCGGATATCACGGAAGAGACGGACAGCACGGAGCCGGTGGCCGTGTGCCACTACCCAGATCCGAACTCTGGGGCGATGAAGATGGTTTTCTACTTTGTTGTCGAGGGCAGATCTGGACTTGCGCCAAATGGATGGACGGGAGAGGATCGGTCGAAATTTGATATTATCTGGGTTGACTTTGCCGAGGCGGCGGACAAGTTGGCGTTCAAGGAAGATGGCATGGTTGTCACCAAAGCATTGGAGGATTTGAGAGTTTCTGGGTATGACGCCTGATTTGCTCTGGTGCTGGTGCTCAATTGGGACAGGGTTGGCGTTGCGAATCGGAATGGGAAAGGAGACATATTTGTTGACGGGTAATTTGACTCGTCTGGGGTTTGTGTGCTGGGTTTTGGTTTATGGGCTATGATACCCATCTACTTGGATAGCAAGGACCGGTTAAATTGTCAAAAGTTGATTGAATGCTTGTGGGACCGCAGCTCAGATACAGTATGTAGACATGTTTGAACTTTTGATCACTTTGAGCGAAATCCAGTCGGCATTCTTCCAAGGGGTCCGACAGAAGTCCCTATGCCTCATCTTTCTGCAGGGCTCCCTACGTGGAGGTGGATTTAAGCTTACGAGAGTAGCTTTGGGGGAACGTGCGGGGCATCCTGGCAAGTCAGTGACAACTTCCAAAGTCATAGGTAACCATGTGTAACCATTCATCGAGCTATCTGCCTAAAAGCTCGTTCAAAGGACTCGAACTGGATTGCTGAATAGTATGAGAACTAAGACGTCCATAAAAACACACGAGAAGATGCGAGCTAGGACAAAGACTTGCGGCATGCTGGGAACCCCCTTGCCGGAAGCCTTCCCCGGCTGCGTATGTCATGGCTGAAGCTATGTCCCTTAAATGTGGGCGAACCAAAGCACTGGGTTTTGGAGTAGGGCAATTGGAAGGTACACATGCAGATTAATGCATTTGTGCCCGTCACTGCCTGAACATGTCGGCAATGGATGATTTGGAATAGGCATGCGCAATAACGACATCAACAGTAGCTCGAACATTGTCATCGACTCCAACTACCGAAAAGTCCGGCCTAGCTCGGGACCGGCGCCGGCAAACGAGCGGGTCTCCCGGCAGGGTGGACCTCGATCCAGTACCGATTCAGTTTCATTCATGGATATGGTGACATCACCCCCCACAGCTACCCCTCCTCGTAACAGCTCGACTCCTTATCGTATTACCCCTCCATCGAAAGAGAACCCGCGCGCGAGCCCCTCCCAATTCGCGAGAACGCCTCGTCCGAACACACAAGACGGCACAAGGAAAGCTTGCCCCCATTGACCAACCGGTGCCCCCCCCGCCTTACCTTATTCTTCGTCAATAAACGTCAGCGAAAACCGGAGAGCCACACCTTCCATTCCACTCTAGAACCAAGACAAACCCACCTGCCCATAATATTGGATGTCTTCCCACACTGCCAAAGCAGCCCGCTCCGCTTCCCAAGCTTTTTCCAGAGCACCCCTGGTCCAGAGAGCAACTTCTTCCTCCTCCACATCTGCCATAGCTTCGCGCTCAACAACACCAGCTTCCGTCACAACAGCAAACAATAACTTCACTTGCTGCGGTTCCATTAACACATCGTCGACTTTCACCTCACGACAGTTTTCGACACAACCCGCCAGAATGGCTACCACCATGCCCGCCCAGCACGGCCACCACGAGGCTTGCTGCAATATCCCGCCCGTCGTCGCCAAGGGCTACAAAGCCAAGGGTTCCTACGAGGAGATTGGTAGCAAGAAGACATGTTCGTCAAACCTCGATCGCATCTACCATATGGAACTACCGCTAACCCATGCTGCCTCATAGACGTCACCGGCCCCGCCGACGCCAAGAAGGCCATCGTCGTAACATTCGACATCTTCGGCTTCTTTCCCCAGACCCTGCAGGGTGCCGACATCCTGGCCACCGCTGGTGCCGAGAAGTACCGCGTCTTCATTCCCGACTGGTTCGCCGGCGAGCCCGCCAACATCGAGTGGTTTCCTCCCGACAACGAGGAGAAGCAGCAGAAGCTCGGCGCCTTCTTCCAGAGGTTCCCTCCCCCCAAGATTGCCGAGCTGACCCCCGAATATGTCAAGGCTATTCAGTCAAAGTACTCCTCCATCGAGTCTTTCGCTACTATTGGTGTAAGTGCACAGTGTGTCGGACGATGATTTGTGAACAGAGAGCTAATTGAAGTTGCAGTACTGCTGGGGAGGCAAGGTCGTTTCCCTCGTCACATCCTCCGACAGCAACCCCTTCAAGGTCGGCGCCGAGGTCCACCCCGCCATGGTCGACCCCGCGGACGCCAAGGGTATCAAGGTTCCCTTGATCATGCTGGCTTCTAAGGATGAGGGCGAGGAGGATGTTAAGAAGTTCGAGGATAACCTGAGTGTTGCGAAGCACGTCGAGATCTTCAAGGACCAGATCCACGGATGGATGGCAGCCCGGTCTAACTTGGAGGATGCGCGTGTCAAGGAGGAGTATACTCGTGGATATAAGACTGTTTTGGAGTTCTTCGCCAAGAACTTTTAGAATGTTACGCTTCGTGTTAGGTTTAGGGTCGTCTCAAGAATAGCGAGTCCAGATCCACCAGGCGTTTTTCCTTTTAGTCACATTGATAGTGAGTGGACTTTACCGTCACAACCACAGAATACACCTTACTCTTCAGGTATAGTGTCAAAGTATTTTCACATGGTATACGAGGGTCTCTATCCAAGTCCGCGGTTATCGTAGCATTGACGTCTGGACATGAATCTGGGACAAAACTCCATGTGCCAGCCAAGAAGGTCAGCAATTATGGGCTCGACCTCAGAATAGTTGATGCAAAACATAATATGAGTAAAAAATACATCTCGAAACAGCACTTAGTCTGACAAGTTACCATCTGTCTTGTTAGGTTCGGTCCAATTCCTCCCAACCTAAAACAGCCTCGCTCAATTGCTTAACCTGACGAAGCACCCTAGCCTGATCAACCATGCGAAGCCCATCAAGTCTATCCAGGGTGCGATCAGGAAGAAAATTAAATGAGAAACCTCCAGAAAAATCAGAGAGCCCATATGATGTAAGCGGCTTAATCCTAAGCCACAAGTCCCTCAACTCCCCATTGAAAGCTGTGTTGGTGTCGATGCCATTGAAATCAAGGAATAATCGGACATAGCTGATGGCTCTGTAAGTAATGCCTTGATAGGGCATAAATTTTTCGCCGTTAGAGCCAGACCGGGACACATGCTCCAAAAGTAGCTGAACAACAACTCTGGCATTGGCTCCGTCAGCCGAGCCGTCCAACAAGGGAGGTCTGCCTTGCTTGTCCAATACTTCAACTTCGTCCACCATCTCTGACAAATCTTTCAACAATGCTGTCTTGCCTGATGTAATGGCCCACCACAAGGGAGTGCGTTCTTGGTGATCCCGGACACCCATGAGCTGCTGACATATTATAGTGTTGCGTAATATTGCTCTACGCACCCAAGCAATTGGTGTAAGGTGCTTCTTACGGTCTCCCCATTTTTCCCATTCAAGCTTCCTCTTCAAATCGTCTGTACTCAAGACTGAGTCGCGGCCGGCTCCTGCGGCGATTAAAAGCGCTGTTCGACCGAACTTGTCATAGCCTGCTAGATCAGCACCGAGTTCCGTGAGCTTCTCTAACATCCACCTGTCCCCTACTTCAGCGGCTAACATGATGGGCGTCATATTATTGTTATCTCGGCACTTGATATCGGCCCCATGTTTTGCCAATATCATGACCCAAGATATGGATCTTGCCGCTGCAGCATGCATATCCTCACCCTGTCTTTCAATCATATCCCTGAATTGGATGACAATCTCCGTAGCTAGCCATTCGTTGAAGTTAATAGCGCACAGAAGAGGGGTTCGACCTCGAGAATCTTCGGCTTCGGTTTGGGCACCAAAACTTCGGGGCATTCCTAGTATGGACATCATACCTTGCTTGATGGCATAGAGCAAAGGCGTATCTCCATTCCGATTCATAGCTTCAGTTCTGGCCCCTCTTTTCAAAAGCACCCCCAACGTCGCTTTTGCTCGTTCTCCAGGGCGTGCCAAAGTGGCGTGCGCCCTAGGTGATCTGTAGCCTCGATGTTGGCTTTATGATTCAGCAACACGACTAGCATCGAGTTTTCACCGTCCTTTGCTGCAGAAGCTAACAGGGTCATACCGATCTCGTTTTCGGAGTCAATGTTTGCGCCACCGTGAATCAGCGATTCAACGATCAACTCTTGGTGTTCCGCAGGCCATAACGCCGATGATTCTCCAGATTGCCCCAAGAATTTGGCGCCGTTCTGCAGGAGTATCTTTATTGTGTAAGGGTGACCTGATTGAAAAGCTCGCAATAGTGGGCTTCGTCCGGCTCTGTCACGTTGTTCGACATTTGCGCCGTGGTCCAAGAGAATGTTGACCACCTCATGGAAACCTCTGGCGGCCGCTAATAGCAAGGACCTGTTGTGAGACTCATGCATATTTTCAACTTTGATGCCATGATCGGGTGTCAAATCATGCATACTCGGTGGCCCAAATCGTGGGCGCTCGAGAAGAAGGCGGCTCATGGTTATGTCTCGCTGTTCAATACACATATCCAGAAGAGACGGGTCATTCGCGATCTCGAAGTTCAGATTTTCATCGGAAAACCGGATGAGTTTGTGGGCCACTTGCGAATGCTTGTGTCTTACAGCATTGAAAAGCGCCAACTGAAATGATTCTAGTTTTGGTTTGTGTTGGCACCTTTTAAGTCGCAATATGTCGTTATCCAGGATGCTTTCGATCAACTCGTAGTGTCCTTGACGAGCTGCCCAAGATAAAATCGAACGTCCCATACGATCGACGAAAGCCACATCGTCTTCGGGTAATAACCGTTGGTTGAACAGCTGCCGCAAGCCGAACCATGCTGCCAGATGCGCTCCCGCAGATGGTACATCCTCACCAACGTGCTCACTCAAGATAATAGCTAGGCCCTCAAGCAGTTCTCGATTCTTGAGTAATTGGCCGGTATTGGCTGGGAGCTTGTCACATTTGCCTGCGTGATGCCCCCAGTATAGGATGGCGTATTCACAGAAAGGAAATTCGGATTTTCTGAGATCTTTGAGAGCCGAGGATTCGAAGTAATACGGGTTTCGCCAGAATGGAATATCCCGGGTACGGCTTCGGATCATTCGCTGAACCTGGCCAATGACAAGATAATGAACGCATGTATTTGCGATTTCGGCATCAGCGTCAGGAAACAGATTCTCGTTCCTTTTGTTAAAAAACTCCTGGATTGTTTGATGGACCAATCGAACGACCCCGCCTTGTTCGTCAAGAGTCACTAAACCTGCACATGCGGAAATGATAATATCAGCGGAAGGGATATTGTCTTCCTCTATATCCGGCTCGTCTTCCTCCACTGCTAGAGCATGCTGGAGTTCATGCATCTCCAACGGGCGCTTGGCGAATGCGATCCAAGAGAGAGCCTGGTGTGCAAGCTGCACATGTTCGGGTGGTTGCACGCGTATTCTTTCCAGGGCCTCATCGTAGAAATATGCGTATGTGTCGTCTTCGGCAGATGCAGCAGCCAGAGCTTTTCGTACGGCTTGGAGGGTTATCTTGCAGGACAACGAGTCAATGAGCAACTTGGCGAGAAGAAACCTGACTTGATCAGTATTTGGTTTGATATTCTGCAGGGTAGCGAAACATACATTCCGTTGATTCTGCATAAAACGCCCTCCCGTATTTCTTCTTGGATTCCGGGGCGCCTCTGCACAAAACTTAGCATGTCCGGTATGCGACTCGAGATGTACCGTGATACATCAACGTCGCTAGCTTGAATCCGTAAGGTGCTTGCACACTTTAAGTTAAATGATTCAATGATCTCGGGGATCTCTCTAGCTGTTGCCAGCACATTTGTCGGGTGTCGCTTTCGTAGCCGAGAGACTTCCGTCATGAGTGCTTGTCGACTCTTGGATTCACACTCGTCCAAAGCGTCAATGACTATGAAGACGCGGCGATAGGACGAAGCAATGGCCTGAAGCACGCTAGTAGTTTCCTCTAGAGTCCTGGAAGTCTTCTTTCTTTGATGCATATTGTAAAGTTCTTCAAGGCTGCTTGGAATTGGAGAGCGACATTGTGCAAGTTGCTTCGCGATGCTGGATAGCATGTCGTAGTGGTTTTGTCTCTCTTGATCTTTGAAGTTGCAGTAAATGTAGGCTATACCCACGTCAGAGCTGTCCTGGTACCGATGAAATAAGTCATCCACCACAACAGAAGCCATGATGGTCTTTCCTGCTCCCGGCATTCCAGGACATATTAGGGTCTGGTTCTGGCGTGAAACCCATGACTTGTACTCGTCGGAATCCAGGAGCCACTGGTTGGTGCCGCTATATCGCCTAGAAAGGTGGTCTCGCTGCTGCGGCGCATAGTCGGTGGCTGTCAACCAGTCCAATATCTCTCTTTCTCGGCGACTTGTCTGTTCATCGTATATCGAAGTAACGGCCTGTTTCGTAGTATGTATGGCCTCGCTACACCCATAGTCAGTATGAACAAGTGCTCTTAGTGACAATGACGCACCTGTCCCTAAAACCTTTGATGGCACTGAGGAAATGGACATTCATGGTGATCCGCTGTCGTAGCTTCTGAACGTCTTCGGGCTTCATCCTCAGGCGTCTCCAGACAGCCCGAGGTTTCAGCTTGGACAACGTGCTCATGCCCTCATGCTTCTCTAAGCTCGTGTTGTCGTCGTAAACGTTCTTCAGCTCGCCCAGAAGCTTTGTGGATTCTTTGATGGGTGCGGCCAAGGCCTCTTTTTCGTTCTCGGTGAGTTGTTCTTCGACACGGCCAATGTATTCGAGTATCGACGTAAGGGAAGCAATCCTGCGGAAGAAACAATGGTCAAAGGTGCTCGTCAGATACGATGATGACTGCCTAATCTTACTCGCGACCGAGAGAATCAAAGTTGTCCGGGGCATCGGCGAAGCGCTCGCGATACAACTTCGCCTTGTCCAGCACGGCGATAAAATCGCCGACTCCAAAACCGAAGCTCATGCTCGATCCCAACCGCCGCTAGGGCTGTAGACAGTCTTAATGTGGACACCGCAGATTGAGAGAAGCGTTTTTGGATGATGTTTAGTTGAAGCTTGCGGTCCAGCCTGATCCATAAACATGGTCGGGCTGGCTTACTCCGACTGCTGCGCCCTTTCGACTTGCAGATGATTGGTTGCCTCCCCGAGGCGTTGGTAATATTTGCAGCTTCATGGGTCACTGACCTGATATCCCCGGTCGGAATACGACAACTGTGAAGCAACCACTAATCACCACCGAGTACGCTGCCCAATTTGAATGAAGCCAAAGCATTCACAGCATGTTTGCGAAAGAAGTTGATCGTTTCGAGGCAATCCTCTAACATTAGCTATTCTGCGTTGAGCGGTAGCTAGCAGCAGATTTTATGAGCCGGGTCAATGGAAACTGTGAATATGACCCATTCATAGCTCTCAAGGAGGATGGAATTGTTTGGTGCGAGAGGAGACTGCTTGTTTTTGCATTGCTAAAACGACTACTGTTCCTCCGGGCTCACTCACTGTCGTCGTCGTTATTGTCCATCGTATGTCAACTGTCGTTCTCGACGACTCAAGATAGGAAATTTATTGAATACGTATGGAACTTAACCGCGCACGCACAAGAAAAATAGTTCGATCCCCGCGGGAACATTCCTATGAACCATCACATACTCCATCACAAACTCTTTGCGGCGCCGGTGGATGGCATCGTGAGCTTGAGTTTGTAAGCGAAGGCCGCAGATTAGATAGAGTGGAAGGTAGTGTCCTAACAGCAGGATCGTCTCTTGCTCAAGATGCTGGGGCTATCAGCCAACCAGTTCCAATCAAACCTGATAGTTTGATCGCAAGTAGGTCCTTACGCGATAGCTAGAGACAGGGCCTCCGTCTCACTGGCATGTCCTTTGAAAAGTTCCTGCACAACACACAACACCACCAGAAACGATTTTCGACAGAAATTCCAACATTTTCGCGCCCGAAAATTTGAACAACCACGCACAAGAAAATCTCAAAGAAAGCAATCATATTTCTGTTTTAATTCTTTTCCATTTATTTGTGGCTAACTTGCGGATCAGGATGCCTCCCTTCCACATGTCGACTCAGACCATCAAGGACGCTTTGGCTCCTCGCGAGACCAATGGTCAGGTTGTCTTTCTGAAGAAGCTTCACTGGTTCAAGATGGAATCACAGGTTGAAGCCTACGTCGACAAAATCATTCGTCCGCGTCAGGTCGAGTACTACTGGCCAGAAAAGGATGGCACAGCAAAGAAGGCGAAGAAGGAAAACATGGGCTATGTTTGGATCGTGTGCGAGAACGAATATGCAGCAAAGACCCTCGTGAAGGAGATCAACCTTAAGGAGACAAAAAGAGGATTCTACGGGCGGACTCTCGAAGCAGTCCACATGAATCGTAGACCGGTCAATGTACAATCCTTTTCCGACTTGGTGTGCTTCAATTCCTGGCATCACTAACAAACAGTGCAGCGCCTTCCTCTTCAGAACAGACATCCCACGAACAGACCGCACCATACGCCTCCAAGCAACATGCCCTCAGCTTCAACAGCTCCTCCTCCTGCGTCGGACTCTCGTCTCACGTCCGAAGACCCGGCATGTGATACCGCCCACATGAGACCATCTCATGCTACCACGGCGCGTGGAAACACTCATGCCGCCAATGTTGCCAATATCAAACCCATCATGACCGGTGATGCCCTTGTGGATTCCCAGCTTCAGAACGAGGGAGGTGGTCCTGCTGGGGAGGATAGTGCGTCAGAATCCACGGAAGAGGATTCGTACTCTGACGTCGAATCTCTCGGCCTGGACTTGTACTAAACTTGTCCAACATCGATTCCGCCAATTTCTTTTTCGCAGGCCGAACCTTCTGATGCCTCCACTTTGACGACGATGCGGGCGCAGATCTGGACTACTTACTACAGCTCCTACCTCAAGGCGTTTACCACGGCAAATAAATCATGATAGCGATGCTGGCAAGGTTACTCCTGCTTTTCCACCGGCGTTGGCCGAACTTTCTACCTTTCTAATGGCGTGAGCCTTGGCATCGGCCTGATCTCATCACACTTCCTGAAGAGCTTATGCTCACGACTTCTTGAAGGGTTCATGCCCATCTACTTCCTGAAAGGCTTATGCTCATAGGTTGAGATTCCTTGGGCTTGGTCCCTAAAGGTCGCACTGGTATCTTCGAAACAGGAAGGGGTTCGAATCCCCAGCCATCATTTCTTCTTTCTGAGGAACTCAAGCTTGCAAACTTCAATGGCATAACTCCACCAGACGCTAGTATCTTTGTATATTCGAAGGTTTTGCTGGCTGAGCAGTGTAACTTAGCTATCCAGGCAATGTCCCCAGTAAACTTTCCAAGGTCGATAGTAGCAGAGAAAAGGATAGGAGTAGCAATGAGAATGACGACGATGCCGACAACGATAGCGAGAACAACATCGACGACGACAGTGACGACGGAAGCAAGCACATTGGAAATGTAATCGCTTTAGCACAGGAAAAAGTACGGGACCCGGCAGGATATACGAATTACACACGTGTGTTAACACTGCCTGAATAGCTAATTGACATTGATCGAATAGGAACACTTCGAATGTACGTTACTCCTGTCACCCATAGTCTTAACGACGATGCCAGGTTCGTCGACCTCGCTGCGCAAGTCACGTTACGCAACGATGGCTTCTCAGTCGCAGAGGCATGTGATCTTGACAACATATTGTATTCTTGACTCAAGCTAAGTTTTCCACCAAAACTTCTTCATCGTTTTGATCCATCTAAGGCGTAAGTCTCTTGGGGGTGCGAGGGTAGTAGCTCGCCAGGTGGACGGAAGGCAGGTTAAGGAACCAAGCCACAACACGGTCAAGACCGATACCGCCACCGCCGTGGGGAGGAACACCAGCGCTGCGGAACACATCGACGTACTCCTTGATGCCCTGGCTGTTGGGGTCGATGCCCTTCTTGCGCAGGCGAGCCTCAAGTACGGAGGGGATGTGGATACGCTGGCCTCCAGACAGAATTTCCTGAGATAATGTCAGCTCATCCGACCATAGTAAATCGTAGAATCATATCTCCTGTCGTAGGAGAGATAGGTTCGTCCTGCGATAAACCATCGCAGCGACCAGCCGCCCGCACCGCCATAAGGGGAAAGTTCGCCGTCGGCGAGTCGATGACAATTTTGAAAACATACCTGACCGCGCATAAAAAAGTCATAGGCGTTCGTGACCTTGGGGTTCTCGGGATCCTCGAGAGCATAGAACTAATTCGTCATGAGCACAATTCCTTTTGAATCAGCCTTGCCAGTACTTACGGGTCTGGCTCCCTCGGGAAACTTGTCCAACACGAAGAAATCAGTGTTGTACTTCTTTCGGATCAGCGCGCCGAGGGCTTTCTCCTGGAATGCTGTGTTAGCGGACGTTCTTGAAAGCGAGTGAATCGGGGCCAAGCGTACCTGTGGCGTAGACATATCCTCGTCGTCAGAAACGTTGCGGTACTCTTCGGGACCTTCCTCGCGGAGGAGCTTCTGTCCTTCGGCGAACGTCATGCGAAGTACCTTCTCGCCAGGACCAGGGAGAAGGAAATCTTCGCTGGGGTAGACTGCGCGGACAGTTTCGATCTGCTCCGCACATCTCTCCTTGAGACCCCGGAAGATGTAGAGAAGTACGTTCTCCAGCGTGTCCATCACTTCGGAATAGTCCTCCTCGATCTCCTGCTCGAGATCAAGTCCCGTGAACTCAGTGAGATGTCTCGGCGTGTTGCTGATGAAAGTTAGATACAGAGCTTTTGCAACATGCCAGATGCGTTTTGCTATCCGGACAGTGTGAGAAGTCTATTCGGACAGTACACCCTTTTCCAACCAATCAGATCTGCCACTTCAATGACACACACTAACGACGCCCAACGATGGCCGCGATAGCTTCATTTGTGCGCAGCGTGAAGTCGGGTTAGGCTAATGCGATTGATCTGATTGATTGGAAACGTGTGTACTGCCCCATAGATTTTCGACCTTGCCCGAATAGCAAGAATCTTTCAAATACGGAGTAGTAAATATCGTACCTGTTCTCTGCTCTAAACACAGGGCCGATACAGTATACCTAGAGTGGTCAATAAATGTTCTGGACGAAAGACGGATTTTTGGTACCTTCTTTCGGCCTCCGGCAATCTCAAACTGCTTGTAAAATTGCGGACTCTGGGCCAAGCAAGCACTCTTTTCGAAATAAGGGAGCTGGAACACGTTGGCTCCGCCCTCAGACGCGGCGCCTATCAGGCAGGGGGGCTCGAACTGGACGAAGCCCTGGGAATCCAAGTAAGAAGCGAATAACTTCCTCACTTGCATGCGGACTGTGATCGTTAGCATGTAGTCTGGTCTTGGGTACTGGAAAGCTTACTGTCGGCGATCGCCTGTTGGCAGGCCGCGCGCTTGTGCATAACCGGGTTGTTGAGATGGGTCGACATGCTGGCGCTGGGCATAGCGTTGCTGTCGTCGATGCTGACACCCTCAACACCGGCCTTGACCTCATCGACGGCCTTGTCAGCTGGGGGGGCGTTGGGGTCCTCGTCGTCGAAGCTGGAAATGGCGCGGTTGGAGACGGCCAGCGACATGGCCAGGGACTCGGGGCCAGGGGCGACAACGAAGAGCTTGGTGATGTGAAGCTCGTAGTTGCTGACCTTGCAGCTCTTGACGGGCTCGAGAGGCTTCTGAACAGTCGCCTCGATGAGCACAAAAGACTCCAGGGAGATGCCGCCAATCCACTTGACCATCTGCTTGGAAACGGGCTTGCCCTCGGCGCTGGCCGCAATCACGCCCTGGATAGCCCAATCGCGCTCCTCGCGGAGCTCGACGAAGCACATCTTGGCGCCCTGCATGCGCGAGTTCTGGATCCAAGCGCGGAGCTTGATGCTCTTGCCGACGTGGTCGTCGCCAATGGCCTTCAGGTTCACGCGCTCGGCGTCGACCTTGGTCTTGGGGGTGACATCGCCGTAGTTGTCTTTGGCCAGGTCCTCGCCACCAGCACCGCCGGCAGCCTTCGCGGCGGCCTCAGCAGCCTGGCGCTCAGCGGCTCTCTTGGCCTTCTCGGCCTCCTTCTTCGCCTTGGCCTCGGCCTTCTTCGCTCCCTTCTTGGACTGCTTCTCACCACCCTCCTCGCCGGCGGGGGCAGCAGCGGCGGCGGGGTTTTCGGTGGGCTTCTCGGTCGGCGCGTCAGCCATGTTTGCGGTCGAGCTTGATGTTTCGAGGAAACAATTGGGAGTCGAATGGAGGGTTGGCCGTCGGTTTGTTGCGTTTAAACGGGCGATTCTGTGACTCTCGTGGCCTGAGCTTTCGGTGTGACTGTTCAAAAAAAAAACGAGTGACAACTGCCTGGATATTTCGATGGAGGGGCAGCGCACAGGTGGGGTAAGGAGCTCTTGCTTATCGATAAGCCGCGTGCGACTACCCCATGCACCAAAGGCGTTCCCTGAGCGACTCAATTCGCTTAGTTAAAATTTTTGGTTCATGGAATTGAGGCGGTCTTGAAGCACAATGCAATTTTCATGATTCAATTGGCTTTTAGGCCAGCAAGTTACTACAATTAGATATCTTAATCAACCCTTCCTCTCCCGTGGTGCACAATGCTCTCGAATCAAACGCCAAACCTGAAATCCCAATCCTGGTATGCTGCCGCCCTGAAATGAACGCAAAACGTGTAATAGGTACATACAGCAATGGAATCTTTCTAGTGCCGTTTTCAGAATACAGTAGAGAAGGGCTTTTAGCTTCCAATGGATGCGAACTAAGCAGCCAAAGAATTCGTTTCAGACTTCTCGCAGGTGAAGAGATTCACGTGGTAATCGCCCCGGGCTGCACATGCAAGAATGGGCCGATGGGGGTGGAAGGACGTGGCTGCAATCGGTGATCCCCTGTTCTGCTGAAGGAAGCTCGAGTACGGCTCAACGCGAGACAACTCATGCCCGTCGAAGTTGAAAACCTTAACGGCATGCGCGGAAGTACCACTAAGTGTCTGGTCAGTACCTTGTCGTGAGATATTGAGTGTTGGTTCACTTACACGGCAAACACCGGCAGGTGTTCATGGGTGCTGGCTGTCCGGAGAGTATCCCGCGTCGTCTGGTAAACTTGAAGTGGCCGGTCCATGCGGATATCCCACAGCTTCACCTTGCCGTTCCTGCTTGCGCTGAGCAACTCGCGTTGTCCGCCACGTTGCATGTGGACACTCTTGATCCACTGCCTATCTGTCTCGTCCTTCCACTTCTTGACCATGGAGTCCTGTGCTCTCAGACGCGTGTCGAAAACGCGAACAGCACCGTCTCCAAATCCAGCGACGAGCGTGTTGCCCGTCATCTGATCAGAGGTCAAAGAGGTGACACAGGACCCCGACCGAGCGGGAATGTCCATGATGCATGTCTCGTATGCTGCAGACCACACTCGGATTACTCTCACGTCGCCAGCCACCAACACGCGACCCGTTGACTGCTGCCAATCGAATACCATGCCCGAGTTGACATTGCTGGGGACCATGTGCGTGAGAGCCCGCCAGGCCGAGGCTAGGTTAACGGACTTGTCCGAGTCGTAGTTCTGGTAGATCCGAATCACACCATCTGACGAACCCGTCATCAGGAACGCCTGGTCGTCTTCGTTGATGAACTTCATGTCACTGATTCTTGACCCTTCAGGGTTGCCATTTGAGAACTTGCTGAGTCGAGCGTGCTTTTTCCAATCCCACACGCAGACCGTATTCCCATCGTCAGCCACAGCAAGATGGTCCTCGAACTGGTGGAACTCCATCTTGGCCGGCTGTGAACCATTATTGGTGATGCCAAGCTGA